CACTACAAAGCTTTCAGAAAATCATTACAGGAGAATAGCTTCATAATCTCAAGGAAGGGAAGGATTTCTTTAAAAACACATAAAACTATTAACTATAAAGGAAACACAAGACAATTTCTACTACATTAAAATTAAAAAAAGCTGTTTACCATAAGACATGAAAAAGAGTACAAACACAAGCCACAGAATGAAAGGATTTATAACATACACAATCAACATCATCATCTAAAAACACAAAGAAAACCAGTAGGAAAAAACAACAGACCAATGATAAGATGAACATAGACTTAACATACACACACCATGTGTGTATGTGTGTGGCATACATCACAAAGGGGAATATCCAAAGGCCAATAAAATATTTGAAAGGTGCTCAATCTCATTAAGAGGCTTCCTTGATAGCTCCATTGGTAAAGAATCTGCCTGCAATGCAGGAGATCCCGGTTCAATTCCTGGGTTGGGAAGATCCACTGGAGAAGCATAGGTTACCCACTCCAGTATTCTTGGGCTTCTTTTGTGGCTCAGCTGGTAAAGAATCTGCCTGCAATGCAGGAGACCTGGGTTCTATCCCTGGGTTGGGATGATCTCCTGGAGAAGGGTAAGGCTACCCACTCCAGTATTCTGGCCTGGAGAATTCCATGGACTGTATAGTCCATGGGGTTGCAAAGAGTTGGACACAACTAAGCAACTTTTACTGTCACTTTCAATCTCATTAAGAACTGGACAACTGTAGATTAAAAATCATAATAAAGTAATAAAGCCATCAAACTAACAAAAGCTTAAAAACTATGACCAAGTCAAGTATCTGGAGCAGATGTGACAACAGGTATACTTAAATACTGTGAGTATAAACTGGCATCACCACTTTGGAAAGTATTTTGGTAACATACAGTCAAATTGAAGACATGCATACTCCACAACAAAGCAATTTCACTCCTAGGTATGAACTCCAGAAAAAACATATGCATAAGCAAACCAAAATCCTAAACAGAAGTGTTCACTATAGCATTGTTCATAAAATTTATTATAGAAAACCCAGAAATAAGAATGGTTCAGGGATGTGCATAACATGGCGGCAGGAATTCTTGAGAAGCTGGTTATGTTCTAATTCTAGATCTAGGTGGTAGCTACATGGATGCTCACTCTATAATTACTACTAAATGGTATATTTCTGTTTTATGCTTTTTTATATGCATGCCAAATTTCATAAAAAGAAGATATTTAAAAAGCAATTTATCTTTTAAGTATATAATTTAATTATGTCTAATTAAGCTTGAGAAAAAAAACTTGATATATGGTAATTTTTCTTTCAGACATGTGTAATGTCATGTCTGTACCAATAATACCAAAAAAATAAACTGTTTAAAGAGTATTAAAATTCTGCAACTCCCATACCACTATGGTCTCTGAAAAACAAAGATAATTCCATTATGTGATTAAATAACATTAAAGAAATTTTAGAACACCAGTTGGAAAATATTTCCAATATGTAAGCTTTTAATTTTGCACAGTGCTTAAGGAATGAAAAAGAAATTATAACAAGTTTATTAAAATAGCAAGTCCTATTAGCCCTTCTTTCAAAATTCAAATCTAATCACTTCCCCTGTATAGCATAGGGAACTCAGTGCTCTGTGGTGATCTAAATGGAAGGCAATCCCAGGAAGAAGGGATATACATTTATACATGTTGCTGATTCACTCTGCTGTACAACAGAAACTAAAACAACATTGTAAAGCAACTATACTCCAATTTAAAAAAACACATCTACTCACTCCCCAATAATTCTAACAGCATCATCCGTGACCAGAACCACAACAACAGCTTTGTAACTGATCTCCCAGCTTCCAATCTTCCACTCTTGCCTATTCAAGTCCACTTTCCAGAGAGCCTCAAGAGTGATCTTTCAAAAAGCAAACATGCTCAGTTGCCTCCCATGGCCTCCATTTTTATTTTGAATACATTAGGAGACTTCATCAGTTTCTTTAACCTTACTGTTCAACATGCTTCTCACTCAACTATGCTATAGTCACTGGGCTCCTCTTTTAAGCCCTCAAATCCACTAACTCTGATCCTGATTCATTTTATACTTCTGCTTTTGTCTCTCTAAAATCTTTCTTCTAACAATCACATGACTGCCTCTTTCTCATCATTCACATCGCTGCTTGATGTCAACTCTCAGAGAAGATTCTTCTGACTATTCTCAGAACCCCCTTCTCCCACAAACACCGTTTTAATTTTCTTTAATCTCCTGTTGTCCTCTTTATCTTTCACATGCACTTAACTCTATCTGAAATTAGATTTGTTCCTGTACTCAGCCCCTGTCTCTCCCACTACAATACAAGTTCCATGAGGGGAAGGACTTTGTTTTGGTCACCGCTGTATCCCTAGTAACTGGAATAGCCCTGGATCACAGTAGTCACTTAATATATTATTTGTTGAGTGCAAAAAGAAAAAAAAGAATCTATTTGATTAGAAGAAATTCTAACTGGAAAGGAATAGAAGAAACACTTACATGTTTATTACTGATTGGTCTTTTCAAGAAAGCATCTCTAGAGATATGGTCTGCTGTTCTTGCCACATCTTCCAAAAATCGATAATCTACAAATTTCAAAAAAAACAGAAAAATAAATAAATGATATATGCCTATGGCCAGGAAGCATCAATCTGCTATACATAAGATGGCTTACCACTTAGGAGATTCATTTCAGTAAACTGTTGTATTGAAACATAGGCAGTTTTATCTCGAACTCCATTACATATTAGTTCTGCTTTGTGTTTCTTTACACAGGGCAAACTGAAGGAACCAAGAGAAGGAACTTTTATGCTTTGAGGTAAAAAGGGTACAGGCAGAGATAATAAGGTAGAAAATTACATATATACCTGCAGGAATACCGCAAACAACGTGGACATCTGTACTTTGCTTCTTCTGTACCACAAGTTTCACATCTACAAAGCTCACAAAAAACTTAATAAATTATCAAGTATTAATTCTATATATTTATTTATAAGCTTTTAATCCATCACAATTTACAGAGACGCAGTCACAGTGAATAAAGTAGATGCAAGTAACTCTATGGACAGCTGTCAAACATCATTAGAAAATTCTCTAGGAAACCATCTCTTAATGACACTACATTTACAATGTTGTTTAATGATAGGTAATTCAAGAAAACATGTATTAAATTTAAAACATTATCTCACTGGGACTTCCTTTTCTATATAATCAGACAATGAGATCACTTATTGATATTTTAACTTGTAATTCCTGACACTGTTAACAACTGTGTGTGTGCACATACCCAGAAGTCCAATCCATGAGCTGTTTATATATCTTAAAGGCAGACACATTCAGAAAAAGAAAACCTAGGCAAATTTAGAGAGCAGCGGTTGCATTTTTCTTCCTCAGTTCCCCATCCAACTGAGAATGGGCATCAAAACACTCTAGAAATACTACTACCCATCATCTGTCTTCAACTGATCTTTCACATGAGTGACAATCAATGTACAATGACAATCAAACTACAAAGGGACAAGCAAACTACATGTTGATTCACTGTATTTGAGACAGAAATAGTCCCAAGAATCTGACTACTCTTATTTCCTTTGCTGCCACATGATCACACTATAAAGAAATTAAAAGCAATAAATGTTCATAGTACCCATAGAGAAACTAGCCAATTGAGTTAGTTCAAAAGCATTTTGCCTAATTTTAACTTACTCCACTTTGTTCTTGTTGGCTTTATTAGACTGTTCCTCACACCTATCTGCTCTCAAAAGAATACTGAGCCGAGGGCATACAAAATCAAGCCAGATTCTGGTCCAAAGGTTTTCCGGTCCAAAGAATTTTCACTTCCTGACTTGGTCACTGGACACTAGTACCAACCTCACATATTTCCACAGAATTTGTTGTTATCTGACAAAACCCTTCTTTCCTAATCGCCCCTCCCCCACCACTCAGACTCCCGGCCCAAACTAACGCTTATTTTTCATTATTCCACACCTTACTGATCGTGTAGTTTCTTTCAACCTAGACAACAAAGGACCTTCACAGCGCTGCCCTACCTTGACATGGCCAGTTTCCGCTTGGAGCCCACTGAGGGATTTATCTGAGGCTCCTCTTTCACCTTTGTATCATCCATCATTTCTTCTTTGGGGAAATACTTCTCTTCTTTTACATACACTTCATCCATTATTTCCTCCTTTTTAATATTCTGATCAAGAGACACTTCCTCACGTTTAATCTCCAAGCTATCTTTCTTCTCTTCCTTCACTTCTAACCAGTCCATCACTTCTTCCTTCACCTTCACTTTCTCTTCCTTTATCTCTGTTTCTTCCACCTTTTCTTCTTTCACCATCAAACTACTATCCATCTCCTGCTTCACCTCCAATGTGCCTGGTTTTTCTTCTTTCACCTCAGGTTCGTCCGGCTCCTGCTTTACCCACTGGCCATTCAGCGTTCCTTCTACCATTTCTGACCAGTCCATTACTTCTTGCTTCACAACCGTTAGGTCCATTCGCATCTCTGCTCCTCGTCTACTTTCTTCTTCCCCTGCCCCTGTCTTCTCTATTCTGATCAGACCATTCTCCGCCTCTCCATCGCCGGACTCCTCCGTCTTTATTGTACCCCTGACTCTCTCTTGATTTGATTCTTGACTTAGCCGCGCCCCCTCAGCTTCACTCTGGAGACCTCCTCCAGACATCTCTTCACTTTCAGCAGCAAAATCCATCACCTCAAGATCCTTGACCTCCGTTGCCACTCCGTCCTTCAATGTGTTTGGTTCACGCCAGGAGGGCTGAGTTACCTGCAAAAACACGGACAGCGGCCCACGTGGATATCAGAGAACTAGCAGGCAGTGAACGCCGACCCGGCGCGCCTGTCCGAACAGTCGTAAAGCAACGCTTCCGCGCCGTGCCCTTCACGACTCCTGGAGCTCTTTACGGCTCTGAGGCAGTCCCGCCCAGACCTTTCCGGGATCCTCTTGAGACCACGCCCACTTCGATCCCGCCTCCGGGGCGGGGTTTCGCCAAACCCTTCCCTTGGAGAGGCGGTGCCTTCTGCACGGGGCTGCACGCTTCGGCTTTAAGAGACCAGAGGAGCTCAGGATAAGGCAGAGAAGGGAAATTCTCGTTGCATTCAAAGGGGAAGACCTACTCTACTCTGTTCTAAGCTTGCATGAAAATGGAAGAAACACCTAGTAGCACTCCTCTCCACGCTTCAGTTTCTTAGGCAGTACTCCAGAGACGACGGTATTACAAATCTTTTCGTTTATTTTGATGTTACGTGTAATAATGTATGGAAATAAGCTAGCAGTGATGAAACAAACAACATATCGTCTCTATTATTACTGGGAATCCTGATAGGTTTCAGGTAGAAAGAAGGCATTATTTTTATTCTTTCAGTTATTTGTCAGTAACAGCCGGCATCAGCCAGTTCCCCATTTACAGCATCCTACTGAATTATCTTTAGAATCTCTCTCTCTATATATATATGTATTACATATATTTAAAGACAGGATCAAAAATTCAATCTCCAGGATTTCCTAGAACTTACAGGGAAAAAAACCCAAAGCAACCCTCAATAAATGAAAACTTTCCTGGCATCCATTTCAGTTACTTTTATTGTTGTTGTGTTGTTGAGTCGCTAAGTCATTTCAACTCTTTTGTGAGCCCACCAGGCTCCTCCTCTGTACTCTAGGCTAGAGTACTGAAATTGGTTGCCATTTTCTTCTCCAGGGGTTGAACTCGTATCTCGAGCGTCTTTGCATTGCAGGCGGATTTTTACCACTGAGCCACCAGTTACTTTTGAAGATTGTTATCACCTATGGGGATTAGGAGTTTTCACTTAATCTTTACATAGTGTCTATGAAATACATTATTTTTCTCTGTGCATAAGGAGACTTCAAAGAAACGGATGTTAAGCTGTGGGCTGCTTTCTTCCACTCCCTCAAATTCTGTTATGGTTTGCAGGATGCTCAGCTGTTATCACTCATTCACACTTGATGGAGTGGGTGAGCAGAATGAGGACATTTTGAAACTTTAGTTGAGGCTGCACTGATTCAGTAGCACTGGAAGTAGCACTGAAGTAAGTTGGGAAAGTTTTGTGAAATTTTCTTAGGGCTTAAGGTAAAGAGGCTTACAGAGAAGTCATGACAGTGTTTTTTTTTTGAGATACTTAGAGGTACCAGCTGCCCATAGAGTCAAAGAGAGCCTTTCTGGTAACCCTTGTTAGCGATCAGGTTTGTTGGACTCCTTCATCAATAGAAATTGCTGAGACCAGGCAAGGCTTTATTGGGAGGAAAAACAAGTAACAGGTGATTTTACTCACTGGTAGGAATGGGGGAGGGGTGCTCCAGGGCAAGGTAGTTCCTTGTGCGGGGTGAGGATAGGGGTGGGTCTAGGGTTCCAGGATTAAGGGGTGGCTTCGTTGGTCTGCCTACCAGACCAATGGTGGTGCTGTGTGCCAGGTGTGTGCACAGCCCCCTGCTTTTGTTCCAGACTCTTTAGAAGTGGTAGTTGAGTTTTTGGTCTTTTTGTGTCTTGTTCATAATTTGCCACAGCCGCCCATGCAGGCAGTTATATTTTTAGTACCTAATGGTTTCTTTGTATTTTGTTGCTGGAGGAGACTTTTGTCCAGGTGCAGGCACTGCAACAAAGGGTCGCAGGTCTCACGGTCCAGCCTGTCTCAGATTTGCAGGCCGGATTACATGTTTGTGCTCAGAATAGGGCTAAATAACAAGGAATCCACATCGTCTGGCTAAAGACAAAATTTGTGGTAGGATAGTAACAGGAGGATGTGTTTATCCTCAAGAGAATAAAACCATCTGGATTTCCATTTAAGATTACAGGGCAAGTTGTGAAACTACAAATCAGACCCCAGAAGTAAAAACACTTTGGAGTATTTTGGATATTTGTCATTTTCCTACATTTCTTCTTATAATCTGTGTTTTTTCACAGTCATTAGAGGGAAAATTGTTAAACCAGTAAGGATTCTTGAGAGCATCACAATTAATCACTTACCTGAGTTAAACAGTTAACACTGTAAGGCTAGTTTTAATGGAGGTATCAGAGGTTATGGGGCTTCCCTGGTGGCTCAGGGGTAAAAAATCTGCCTACAATGCAGGAGATGCAGGTTTGATCCCTGTGTGGGGAAGATTCCCTGAAGGAGGGAATGGCAAACCACTCCAGGATTCTTGCCTGGAGAATCAAATGGACAGAGGAGCCTGGCAAGCTTCAGTCCATAAGGTTGCAAAGAGACATGACTGAAGTGACTGAGCATGCGTGCATGCAGAGGTTGTGATGATATTGTTAAAGGGCAGTTTTGAAGGAGAAGGGGGACTTGAGTGGTCCTAGAGGAGAGAACTTTGGGTTGTCTGAGTATAGAGCAAGGGTATTGCCTGCTAGGACAGACATGGCAGGGATGCTGGATTGGGGTGGGGAGGGAGAAGTTATTTGTGAGGCTGTCATTGAATTCCTATCCAATTCCTCAGACTCCTCCTCCTCCCTTTTCCTACTTCAATGGAGTAGAAGGACAAGCCCAGCTCCTTCAGTATAGGATTGAAACTTCCTGCTGTCCCTATTCTCTCTGTCCACCATCCCTGCACAAGGCATCATGGTGTGCTGTCCTCCTCACTTTGGCAGCTGGCCCTTTACCAAAATCATAGTTGGTTCAATTTAACAGCTAGGAAGCTGGGAATGCTTTCTATGAAAGCATCTTAGCTCAGACTGAAATACCATGAGTGAGTGTATAGTAGGGATGGTTAGAGCCATTTTGGTGGCTCAGCAGGCACTATGGGTAGTCAACTGTCTAGTTGACTATAGAGTGAAATTTAGGAGCGTCTTTCCTGACCACTCAATGGACAGATAAGAAAATGGAGACCCATGGAAAGAAAATGCTTTGCTCAATGTTACATGTCTATTGGTGACAGCACTGAAGTACAAAATGATCTGGTCAGAGCCTTTTGTTCACACTTGAGTCTAGTTAAGACAAAGGCTGGGGAATTTAAGTGTGGCTGTGTCCACATGAGAAGCAGGAGCCAGAAAGCCTGAATTTTATCTTGTGGCCATGTGTTGTGATGTATTGCAGGTTGGGTTACTGAGAAACAGATGCTGATAGGAGTTATTAGGGTTCAATGCTTATGAAAGGAAGGAGGACAAAGCAGGACTGGCCAAAGAACAAAATTTAAGTTGTGATGCAGGCCTGACAAATCCTTGGCCAACCTGCAGGGTATCGCTGAGAAAACATTTTCTTCTCGAGTGTCCCCCGTCAGGGCAGAGCTGCCCCATACTTTATATCTAACCCCACTCAGTCTCCTGATGGGTCCTGCCGCAGAAAGGGAATCATCTTGGGCATGGGCTTCCCTGCAGCTGGAGGTCACAGCGGGAGGCTGATGACTGCCCTTCTTGTAACAAGTAACAAGCTGGGTAACAAGTTCTTTGAAGGAGATCTAGGTGGTGGTTCTCCATGGCTACCACAGTGTGAATGTGTATTTGCCTTGGTGGTCGTGGGGCCTTTTGTCACTGAATTTGCTTGGTTCTTCTTTCTTAAAATGAAGATAGGTATGCCTATTTCACAGAACTATTTCGAGAATTAAATGAGAAAATGTATGTGAGCTTTTGAACAGTGAAAGCAATTATAACTATTATTTTTCTCATTCTACTAGTAATTTTGAAAGCTCCCAATGGTGACAGCTTACTTCTTGTTTTCTCAGACTGGAGGACAAAGCTGAGATAATCACATTCACTAGTTCTTGACATGTTCTCACCATATGCGACAACCCTCTCTGTTTTCACCATTTGTACGTCACCACTATCATTACCCTTCCTCTCACTCTCATGCATTTGATATGATTCTTTACATAAACACATGTCTTTGTAAAGTACATAGTATTGTTTTATAGTGTGCTATTTTTTAACAACTTCATTGAGATATACATGTGTGTGCTCAGTCATGTCCAACTTTTTGTATCACCATGGAGTGTAGCCTGCCAGGCTCCTCTGTCCATAGAATTTTCCAGGCAAGAATATTGGAGTGGGTTGCCATTTCCTTCTCCAGGAGATCTTCCCAACCAGTGTCTCCTGCATTGGCAGGAGGATTTTTTTTTACCACTGCACCACCTGGGAAGCCCCTTGTTGAAGTATAATTTACATAAAAATACACCTGTTAAAAAATACACCCACAATAAACTTACAGTTCAGTAACTTTATAGAGTTGTTCAATCACCACAATCCAGTTTTAGAACATTTATATCTTCTCCTTAAATTCCCTTGTTTCTGTTTGCAGTCAATCCCTGTTCCTAGGCCTAGCCCCAGGCAACCATTGATCTGCTTTCTTTCTCTTGTGATTTGCCTTTTTAGCAAGTTTCATATGAAATCATATAATACATGATCTTTTGAGTTTGGCTTCATTTAGCATAAAGTTTTTGAGGCTTATCTATGTTGTAGCATGTGTCATGAGTTTGTTCCTTTTTATTGCTGAATAATATTCCATTGTATTGATATATCACATTTTGTTCCTTTACTAGTTGATGGACATTTGGATTATTTCCAGATTTGGTATTATGAATGATTTTGCTTCCACATTCACATGTAAATCTTTGTGTATACATATATTTTCACTTCCCTTTAGTGGATAGATACCTGGGAGTGGAATTTCTGGGCCATTTGTAAAGTTTGTGTTTAATTTTTTAAGAAATGGTCAAACTGTTTCCCAAAGAGGCTATGCTATTTTACATTCCCACTAATAACGTATTGGAGTTCTAGTTTCTCTACATCCTTACTAAAATTTGGTGTGGTCAGTCTTTTTGATTATGGGTATATAGGGGCTTCCCAGGTGGTTGAGTGGTAAAGAATCCTCCTGCCAGTGCAAGAGACACAGGTTTGATCCCTGTGTTGGGAAGATCCCCTGTAGAAGGAAATGGTAAACCAAATTGATGTTCTTGCCTGGAAAATTCTATGAACCGAGGAGCCTGGTGGGCTGCAGTCCATGGGCTTGCAAAAAAGTCAGACACAACTGAGCATGATGAGCATATGTAGTAATATCTCATTGTGAATTTCATTTGTATTTTCTTAATCACTAGTAATGACATTGAGTATCTTTTCGTGTGCTTACTGGTCATTTGTATGTGAAATGTTTATTAGTGAAATGTTTATTCAGATCTTTTGCCTATTTATGTTATTTTTTATTTTTCAAATTAAAATTTTAATACAATTTTAAAAAGTTACTTTCCATTTAGTTATTACAGAGTGTT